GAGAATCTGCGAGAATAGACTACGAAGGATAAAACGGAAACAGATAGTAACGCCCGAGAAATCGAAATCGAAATCGAAAATGGAAGAGAATGGAACAGAAACAACGAGCAAGTGCGAAAATGGAGAGGGAAAGTAGAGTAGAGAGTTCTGAAGACGTACCGCCCGCGAAATCAGAAAAATATTGATTAATGTACTAAATTAATTCTGAACGTTAGATTAGATGAGTGATGAACGGACCAGATCAGGTCTCACGTCCTCACTTTTAAAAACGGGGCGCATCTGAACCATTCCCTATATATATATATATATATATATATATATATATATAAACATGCAATTTTTATTTTTGATATTTATTTGGTCGAAAATGTATAGTTGTATAATACAAGAATTTGTGTTATGAAATGAATAGAAAGTAAAAGGGGCAAGTGGACTTTAATTCTTGCAAATCGAAGCTTAGAGTAGGAGAATATGACTAACATAACATGTGGAAAAAAAAAAGAAGAAAAGGGAAAAAGAAAAACAACAAGCACAAAAACAGTGGTTTTTGCAATAACTACTGTAGTCAAGTCAAGGGCAGCGGTTGGGGCGGAACCCAACTCTCTTTCCGGCTGCATCAAACACCACCTCGTATGTATTCTGTTGAGTGTTGGCTAAAATTACTGAAAACGAAGGGCAGTAGTTACGTCCGATGAAAGCAAGCCACACTATTAATTTGTTGACCACAAAAAGTGTTCCAGAAGCATCCAAATAGACTTTCACATGCATATGCCGCTGATACATACCATTGTAGACTCGGCCATGGTCATCTCCTGTCTCCCTTAGGAATAACGAGCAAGTCGATTTGGATGCTTCCAGAACACTTTTTGTTTTCAACGAATCACTAATATGTTTTGCTTTCACCAATGGCGACGCTGATTTGCCGGCAGCACCCAACAGAAGACATTCGAGGTCGTGTATGATGTTGCCGGCCAGAAATTAGGGTTCTGCCCAGGCATGTGTACATGACTGCTTTCACTGCTCAATGATTTCACCTCTTACTGAAATAAAGGGTGATTTTTTTTTTGTAAGAATATAAAGATTTGCAAGTCAGCTATTTACTACCTACTTCTTTGTCTTTTTTCGGTTTATTTTCCTACCCTTCTTACCTATTCTAACCAATAGGCTCATTATCAGTATCATGGTTTTTCCACTTTATATTCCTTCTCTTTTTATGTATTCTGTCCAACTCACTTTCATTACCTATTAATCTAACCAATAGGCTTATTATCAATATCTTGGTTTTTCAACTTTATATGCCTACTCTGCTTATTACCTATTATTCTAACCAATAGGCTCATTATCAATATCTTGGTTTTCCAACTTTATATGCATACTCTTCTTATGTATTCTATCCAACTCACTTTCATTCAATTCATTGTTTTCAATATACTATTTAAGTTCCGTGGTGAATGTTTTTTACCAATTAAAAATTTAGTATAATAAATTAATTAATTTATTAAACATATCTTTATGTAAACCAAATAAAATGTGCATCAAATGACCTTCTATTTTTTTTTTTTTCAAAAATAACATAATGATGTCTTAAAAGGATGAATGATTTTTTAAAAATTTGAATTGCCCATACTATCCTCAAAAGATGCTACTTTTGAGGACATACATGTAATCTGTGATGTTAAATTGGAGTTGATAATGATGTAGCTTTTCCAATTACATTTAAATAAAAATTTGAATTGTCAATACTTCCTTCAAGAAAAATAAATATAAGTTCTTTTCGGAGTAAATAAATGTGAAAATCAAAGTACAAATACACACGCCTTATTTTTTTTATAAATAAGTTGTCTTTAGTCTCTTCATTATATAAAATTATTTTTTATTCATATAAAATGTATATTAATCTCATCCTATTATCCTTCATCATCTACAAATATTAATTTATTTATTACAATAGTATACATAGTCTCATTTTGGAACATCACTTTCTAAATTGTTGACCTTTTCAATCAAATATTGTTGCAATGAAGGTATGCCACTAATTTATATGTCACCTAAATGTTTTGCAAATGAAGTTGTTATTCAATGTGACAATATAATTAGTTCAAGTGTTTATCAAATTGCTGCATTTTTATTATTTATTTAGATATTTTAATATTGTAACAGTATAAACACTTTATATTTTATCATGCTTGCATTTTCATTATTTGTAGTGGGGATGTCTTGTGAATTAGAGGAAAATGAGAAAAGTTAGTATGATGCTTCCATGTTTTAGGGTACATTGAAATATCTAAAATATTTAACTAGTCTTTATTTACAAAAGTCGATGAGGAAAAAATAGTGAATATCATGTCTATAAAGTCAGTATTATATTTTATAATTAAAATATAAATTATAAATATACATGACGGCAACCCCATAGGCTTTCGCTTTCGTGTCTCTCTAAAATTGCAGTCATGATAAAATCAGTTCCTATAACTTAACTAATTCATAGATTTTGGAAAATGAAGGAAATAATATTTTATTAAAATAATTGTCGAATGATATCTAATTTTTTATTTTATTATGTTATTTTTTATGCTTTTTTGTGTATTTTTTTGGCCGGGAAGAGATGTATATTGGTAACGTCTAATGCTCCGACCGGTTAAAAATCGGCTCGCCTTCTTCTTTCTCGCCGGTAGAACGCCGAGTACCTGCAAAAACTCTCACATCAGAGGGGTTCTCGCGCGAGCTGGTCGGCGGTGGCGCCCGAGCAGGCGGGTGTGCGGTGTCGTCGCTGGAATTGTGCGACTGCGCCTGGCGGCGTGCGGCTGCCGGTGATAGCTTACAGCTGCGTGTGGCTGGGCGCGGGCGATCTCCAGCAGCTACGTGCGGCGGCTGAGGGAGGTGGCTCTAGTCGCCGGAAAATATGTATATATAAAGGCTCGAATATATCTCACCCTAAAGTCTTCTAATGTATTACCTAAACACCTACTTTGAATAATCTTGGTGGTGCGATTAATCAAAACTTTCGAATTGTCGAATACATGAAGAACAAGATTTTCCTCATCCTTTAGGAACCTTAAAATCGAGCCTCACATGTGTATGTGAAGAGGTTGGGACATGGTGTATTTATAGGCTACATTAGGGACCTTAAGGAGTTGCTAAATATGAGCTTATCCCATTAGGTTTAGGAATCCTAATCATCCTCTATATCCTTTCCCTTCCATCTATCTTTAATTACCCTTCTAGAAGACTCCAAAATCTCCTAACCCTAGGGTAATATTCTAGGAATATTCTTTTTCTTAGGGAATTAAATAATAGAAAATAATTAATTCCTAATTTCTAAATAGAATAAAATAATAAAACGTCCCACTAGAGTAATATTATTGTTCTCCCAATTTAACTCCAATTTTATTCAATAAATTCGAACCTCCACTTGATTAATAAATATTAATCTAGTTGATCGATTTACCTCCCTATGTTTAAGATATAACGTTGATTAATTAAATTACTGACAAAATAATTAATCAACTTCTTATTCATTTCTAAAACTAGTACAACTCAAATCATTAATTATTATGTCGGATATTCATCCACCTGCAGGGTTTGACATAATATTCCTTCATGAGCTCATTTTAGGGACGTCATCACCCTAGCGCATTAGGACATAGTGACTTTAAATAGTTTATAACAACACATCATATAAACATCATCATTTACTAAAATATCGAGTATGCCATCCTAGCAAAATAGAAATCACCCTTGGTAAATCAAATAAACAAGTGATGAATATTGTTGGTGAAATGGACTTTACCCGGGCTCTTTATACTTGAACGGCCTCCATACCTGCAAGAACCCAATGCTGGGAGGGGTCCCTGCATTGGGCCTTTGATGCCTAAGTCAGCACTCGCTCCAAATCAAGAGTTCAAAAAGAGAGTGTAGTAATGAATGTATAGAGAATGTGTTAACGAGATACCTTAGCCCCCTTTTATAGAAGGAGTGTACCTTAGGGCTTAAGTTAGGCTTGACCAATATCATCATGCCACATGTCCTAGCCCATGTGTAGGCTTCTTCTCCATTATATTCTTTTTTTATCCATTAAAATCGGTCTAGTATAATATCCTATATCATCCATTCCCGCCCACATTGGTCTAGTGAGCATAACTCGATCTAACAGTGAAATGCATCTTCCGGCTGTTTCCGTCAACCTGCCACTGATGGTATAATTTGATTAAATCCTCCTCCACCAAATTGTCATAAAAAATCCTGAGTGGCCACCTAATAACTTCCAAATGAGCATCGAGAAACCGCACTGAGGTAAAAAATCGAATGAACTTCTACTAGTGTCGAACATCGAAGACCGAATGACCACTAAGATCGAAAATCGAACGAACCTTCACTGGGTCGAAAACCGAAAGTCGAATGACCACTGAGGTTGAAAATCAAGTGACCCGCAACTGGGGTCGAACACCAAATCTGAATGACTGCTGAGATCGAAAATCGAGTGACCCGCCACATGGGCCAGACATCGAAACCCGAATGAACGTTGAGGTCGAAAATTGAGTGACCCGCCACTGGGTCGGATACGAAAACCCGAATGACCGCTGAGGTTGAAAATCGAGTGACCCGCCACTGGGGTCCAACGCCGATGGCCGAATGACCGTTGAGGTCGAAAGTTGAGTGACCCGCCACTGGGGTCGGACACTGGAAGTCGAATGACTGCTGAGGTAAAAAATCGAGTGACCCGTTGTTTATTGTGTTTTTGTATTGTTTTCGCGTGATTTATGTGTTTTAGCTTAGTGTTTTTAGGTTCGTTTTTGTGTCAACCGGTCCATTTTGTCGTTTTATGTGTTTTCATTTTTATTATGTGTTTTTGTATTTTGACGTACTATCTTTTCTATTTTGGTGTGTTTAGGTTCATTATGCATGTTTGGGGAGACGAGCCATTGTCCGAGCTATTTTCCGATCCATTGTCCATGATTTCGATGCTGAGCCATTCCGAAACAAGTTAGTCGAGCCATTAAAGTTTTTGCGAGAGAGATTGCTGATTGAGTCACCCGAGTGAAGAAATCGAGTAGTGCCTTGTTCGTCGAAAAATCCGATTTGCAAGCCGTGAGTTAAGCCCGAGAACACCCTTGCCCAGCAATCACTCTCGCCGTGAGCCGCGAGTCGCGACCCGCGAAACGCCCATCCACTACCCGCGCACTCGCGGCCAACGACCCTTGGCGACCTCCGAAGACAGCACGCAAGCCCCTAGCCTCGACCTGGCACTCGCTACGAATAAGCTTCCGCGTCCTGTGAAGCGGTGCGGCGCGAGGAGGGAGAAGCGGAGCACTCACTGCGAGAAAGTTTTGGCGAGCTGCGAAGCGGCACAACGCGAGGAAGGAAGCAGACACTCGCTGCGAGAAGCCGTTGGCGTGCTGCGAGATACGCGGCGCGAGCGAACCAACAACAACACTCGCTGCGAACCAAGATCAACGCCCCACGAAACGGCAACCTGTGCGCCCTCAGCCTTACACTCACCGCAAGTTCAGTTTGGCGGGCCGCGAAATGCGCTCGTGTGTGTTAGTTTCCATTAAAACTCGCGGCGAAGTTATTTTCGAGACCTGTGAACTCCAGAAATTAGTAAATGTGTGTGTGAGCAGTGTCTGTTTTTGCTACTTAGTATAAATAGACTTTTGTGCTTTGTATGTTGCTATCTATATTTCATTTGCTACTTTACCTCTCTAGGAAATGTCTTTTATTTTAGTTTTCCCTCTAGATTCTCCCTATGACATCATTTTCCAGTGACTTTTCTGGTCACTTTAATTTTATTCAAGTTCGTATCTTTTTGTTCCGATTTCGATCAAGCACGCATTAGAAGTGTAAGTACTTAATTTTAAGGCTTATAATTCGACTTTTGCACCAACTTGCTATATCGTTCGTAGAAGTAATTTAGTTCTTGCTCGACTTATGGTTCATGTGGCTCGTTTAGTTTATTTTCGTTTTCTCGTACTTTTGTGAGCTTGTCTATTTTGCTTGAGATTAGTTGGAGTGTGAATTTCTAAAAGAAAAATCGTGACTTTGATATTGAACTCGGTAATTTTGTAGTAGGACTTTCGGTTTTAGCTCTTAAGCATAGCAGAAAGAGTTTGTTTCTCTTGTTTTCGCACTTTTTACTTGATTTTCAGTTTACCGGTTTAGTAAGCTAGGGTTTCTAAGCTCGATTTCTTGTTTAATTGATCATTTGCTTGTTTCCTTAGTTAATCTAGTTTAAAATCTGTAATGCCCCGTTAATTTACGAATAATTATGGTATTATTTTTTTATTATTATTTATTTTATTTGTCCGGATTTATTTATTTATTTATTTTATTTGTGCTCGTA